TGCGGCTGCAGGAAGCCATCAAGCATTACCAGCACAGTCAGGAGCCCTCCATCCGTGCCTCAGCAGAAAAATATGGTGTCGCGTACTCCACTCTACAAGGAAGGTTGAAAGGAAGGCAATCTCGGGTGTCTGGGCATCTTAAGATGCAAGTGTTAAGTGAGTTTGAAGAAAAATCTATTGCACGATGGTGTGAGAGATTGGATGAGTGGGGTCACCCGGCTAGATTGGCTGTGGTGAAAAGTATGGCAGAAGCTATCGTGGCCAGACGGGAGAAAAACCGCTCGCTTGGAAAGCATTGGATAACTCGCTTTCTTAACCGGCACCCAGACTTAGCAGTGAAGCTAAGTTCTCGGCTCGATCGCCAGCGGGCATTAGCGAATAATCCTGTGGTTATAAAGAATTATTTTAATAAGGTATGATCCAATAATTTTTACCCAACACCTCCGCGCACTATCCTACTAATTATATCTATAGCTTCAACGATTGATCAAATTCTACAATATATCGTACTCTAATATATACAACATGGATGAGAAGGGGTTCATGATGGGTGTTGCCTTGCGTTGCAAGGTTATATGCAAGAAGGGTCCTCGGGCTGGTAGGTTGACACAGGATGGGTCACGGGAGTGGGTTACCGTGATAGAGGCGGTATCTGGGGATGGCCGGGTACTACGGCCTATGATAATAAATAAAGGTAAAGCGCACTACATGGGGTGGTACGCAAAGTTGAAAAAAAAAGATCTTGCGACTTTTGGGGTATCGGAGAAGGGGTGGAGCAACGAAGCTCTAGGATTGAAGTGGTTAAAGGAAGTATTTGATGAGGAAACACGAGTGAGGTAAGCCTTTGTACAGCCTTTTTCAAACTATGTATACTAAGAACTAATTTGATTATCTAGTGCTAGCAATGAGTACCGCCTATTAATTTTAGATGGCCACACGTCACACTTCAACTGGGAATTTTTTGATTATTGTTTAAATGTCAGAATTATCCCATTTTGCCTCCCCGCCCATTCCACCCACCTTTTGCAGCCCTTGGATGTAGGATTATTCAGTCCACTGCAGAGGTATTATAGCAATGGGTTAGATGAATTTATGCGAAAGGGTCATGCTGGTATAAACAAGGGGGAATTTTTACCGTAAGTAGCTTATCTAATAATTTATTACTAGCTATAAGATATTAATATTTTAGAACTTTAGAATTTTGATGCCCGCAAGAAGGCATACCTTTACTCCACAGAATATTATGGCCGCTTGGGAGGGAGTGGGAATCATACCTTTCAATCCACGGCGTGTACTGGGAGCAGTGAAGCGAAGGGAAGTGAGGGTTTTACTTCCGGAAAGTTCCGCTAGAGCCACAACTACTCCAACAGTTCCAAAAACCCCTCGTGCTGTGAGTAGGACAACAAGAACCGCTATTTCTCTTGTTACCCGATCCACCCCAGGCTCCCAAAAGCTGAAGACCTTGCTCTCCGGCCTGTCCGAGGGCTTTCAACAGACTATTGCGGATAAGGTTGTAGAAGAAGAGGCGCATAGGCTCTACCGGGAATTAATGCGAAAGGAAAAAGCAGCAAGGACCACCGACCGCCGGAAACTCACTGAAGCCACTGTAGTGACTTCAGAAATGATACTGGAACTGCGGGAACAGCGGGAGAAGGTTGATGCTGCGAAGGCAGCAAGAGTGGGGAGGCAGAAAATGCATACAAGTGATTCTCGCCAAAGAGAACCCAAGCGGGCAAATCCTCCCACCCCCAACACCCCCGTTACAACTCCTGGGACTCCTGTCCTTGATTCCTCACCTGTTACCGATGAGGCAGGGGCATTATGGGAGGAAATGGAAGCATTAGAGGTTAGTGGTGATGGAATTGAGGAAAGTAGTGGGGTAGTAGCTGCGGAGACTATTAGGCTGCGGGGAGGGCATTCATTACGGTGGAGGTAATCTTCTTTGGGTATTTCAAGTTTCAATATTCTTCTCTTACACACGGCGAAATGGTTTTTGGTTCTTGTAACTTCTATAATGTTTAATTTGGGCCTTGGGTTGTTCGGGAGAGGTGCTAGGACCCCCTCCAGAATTGATCCAGATTGCGCCATCATAGGTGACCCGGATCTAGGTCGTGATCCGCTTCCCCGGGAATCACGTTATTTCAGAGGGTACGCGAACACGATAAGCTACGATTCTAGGACGAGGCAATTGCTGACCTCAGGCTCGCGGAGTGTTGTAGGAGGTAATTGAACACAGTAAACCACCGTTGGGGCGAGGCAATTGCTGACCTCTGGCTCGCGGAGTATTTCAGAGCGTAAGTGAACACGATAACCCACTTTGCTGTGACAGGCAATTGCTGACCTCTGGCTCGCTGAGTGTTTCAGAAGGTAAGTGCACACGATAAACCACCCTTTTGGCCCCCGACAATTGCTAACCTCTGGCTCGCTGAGTGTTATAGTCGGTAAGTGATCACGGCAACCCACGCTTCTGATACAAGGCAATTGCTGACCTCTGGCTTGCGGAGTGTTGTAGGAGGCAAGTGAACACGGTAAA